GCATGCAATTGTGCTTGATTGATTTTTCGAGATTATTTTTAAGTCATTTCCAATTACCCCGAAAAACAGTTTTATCGGCACCAATCAATCAACGGTAGCATTTTGAAGGGCAATAGAGTCGCTCTGAATAATGGAGCTAGTTTCTAATGTGAAATTTACTTTACCTTTTCAAACTTATGTAGTTATTCCCTTTCTTGCCGAAACAAATCAATCTATTTATGAAATTTTCAAAACAATTATGCACTTTACCGCTACGTTTACGACTTCTTGAGCCATCTCAGCTTTTTAACCGTCTTCTGCTGGGACAAATTGGGTCCCTTCACGGTATGACGTTAAGAGTGTGCCACGCATTCAATACATTTTCAAAACCGCCATTTTTTAAAGCGTTTCAGGTTCAGTTCCGAACTTTTACTCGACTTGTTGTTGTCTCGTTACAATGAGCCTTTCAGCGCAAACTCGATGACAGCTTCTGAACTTTGACGACCTCGACACACAGTTAAATGGAGTTGTAAAGGAAACATGAAGGAAATAAACTTACCACGCTCATGTACTCAAGTACAATTGGAGTAAAGACGAAAAAACAAAAGCAGCTGTCTGGGCAATGGATTTGAGCTGTGGTTCACTACAAATCTCACCATCAGTGCGCTGTGGCCGGTCATATTCTTCACATCCCACTCCGATTCTATTCTTTTTCGAAACAGACAAAGCTACTGCTACTGCCTTTTATGAATTTACTATCTAGACAAAAACACTTTTTTTCAATGACGACCATCACTTATTGAGGTGTTCTCCAAGTTCGCAATTTGATCTAAATGATCTGCAGCCGGTTTCCATTCAGAATCGTAGTTTCGGATTCAATGCCCAGGTGGCCTTACAATGACTTGTGGGAGCCAGCCGATGGACAAGTCAGGACTTCTATATTCCTAGACGACTCTGGTACCATTAACCCGTCTTTGAAGGAAAGGAAGGCTCGGATGGTCCACGCAATTCCTCGGGCCATGCATGTGATAGTGCTCCACTTAGCACTACACCACCTCTGCCTCTAAGCTGATATTAACTGCTTTGTCTTAATTGTAATATAAGTTCAGGAAATGAAAGGGTAACGTCACAGTCGATGTACAAAGAAATCTTTACCTATCCTCAGGGATAGCACGTCTAATTGGCATAATGCATTGCTCGTAGTTGAACTGTCTACCAAAAAGTACTGCGCCAACTGGTCAGATATCGCTTCCGCCTAGTTATTCTTGTTACTCATTTCCGTCAGTACTACTATTTGCCCAGCTCATTATCTAACTCCCCCCTCGATGCTTTTCCAATTGACCTTGCTGTTAGATAATGTAGCTCAGTGCCTCTTCTGATTCAAATCTACAAAAATGTGGGAATCAAAGAATAGGTCAAAGCATAAGTGTGTTGCGATACCCAGCCACCGGACACGCGCGGCGCTTCTTGGCTAGTTGACCCGCCGAGCATAATATCTTGCAAGAAATTGGTTGTCTAACTCCGTGCCAGTTGCCTCTACATGAGCTAAAAATAACTTCCATTATCTGATAATCCATCAGGCCTGCATTAGAGTATTGGTTGATATAAAAACTTTACGCCTGTAATTACTATCGTGTCATGTTACACATTATTAAATCATACTATTACGGGTAACCACTATCGTGTATCCTTTGATGTACCGATTCTATTGGTCTATTGCTTGTAATATTTCACTGACTCATTCTTTGCAATGGAGACTACAGATATCCAATGGGTGTTCTTGATTTCATGGCACCCTTTCGCCCTAGCCCCCGCCCCCAGCTTTCGACGGCNTTTCATGGCACCCTTTCGCCCTAGCCCCCTCCCCCAGCTTTCGACGGCAATTTCGTCCGTTCCCTTAAATCTGTCACCAGGGTGAGGTCAGCTGAAAGCTTTAAGGGGGAATGTAGAGCCGAGAAAATGCACCTGCTGCATGATCCCTCCTCTTACAATCATGAAAAGAAGTGGTGGAGTGAAAAAGTGGGAGCGAGCGAGGAGAACATTGAGAATAATATGCACTATAAACATGCATAAGAAAACTTAGGTCAATGGAACTTTCTGTTCTGGCTGATCACTCAAACTCGCCTCCTCCTCCTTCACTCCCAGCGGATGAAATCTCCCATGTGGATTCTTCCTGCTTTTCCGATCCCAAATAGTCAGCGATGGTAGGCAGAACCACTGGTTAGCATATGTTGGGGTCTTTGGAAACAATTTATGTGGTCGGCTAGGATATTTCCGTGGGGATTATGACTCTGACCTTTTGTCACCTTTTTATACGACCGTAAACAGGGAGCCGGCTAGTAAATGATAACAATTGTTGGGTCGAAAAAATGCTCCGCCTAGCAAGTTGCTGCGACCAGTTCTCTTGGCATGGCTGTTCTCGATTCATCGGCATTCCAACTCCACCTACTGTCAGCCACTATTTATCAAAGTTTCCTTCTTACTAAATACCCAGTTTTTCTCCCAAGCACCTTTCCTACTCGGTCCCCACCCCAAACAGCATTTCCCCTCGAAAATATCTCAAATTCACTTTTTTTGGTGCCTTTTTCCGTGGTGTTCATTGCAGGGTGGGCTGTTTTTGCTTGGACGTCGCCTTTGTTTCCTATCTGGAGCTCATTCGGTCGTGGTTTTTCTTGATGATGTCCATTCATCTCTTCTCTGGGACCCCGTGTGGTTGCTTTCTCGTGGTTTCAAAGCTCATCCGTCCGGTTGAATCGAATAACTCTTCTACAAGTTTCATGAATTCCAGATGTTCCGAACGATCGTCTTCACGACGATACTCATCGCTATTGCCGGTTATGTTTTCAACATAATGTAAGTTTCAAAGACCAACTTGAAAAATATGTTTTGCAGATTTTCTTCAAAGAAATTAGCTAGGATTTGATTCCATCTTTGAATTGCGCTGATTACATTATAACTCTACGAAATCGGAAACCGAAAGGGCCCCCATAGGGCACTGAAATCGGGATGAACCATGATTGTCGTAACCGGAGTGCGAACCCAACTCTATTCCGTCGGTAAGAAACCGCTATGAGGGGGAAAACGCGCCTAAAGCCTAATGTTCATAAGCATCAAGTCAAAAACAATTACATCAATGTTTATCCATAAGCGGAGGTGGTGTGGTGGCAGGTGGTGCATTATCACACACATAAGGTCAAGGGATCAAGTCCTGGATCGATACTAGTTCAGGCCAACCACCTCCTCCATCACTCCAGGGGCGGTTAGCTGATACCAGACTAGTCTGGGAGGATGAAAGCAATGACTTGTACGCCGGCTGGGCACCGTAGTTAATTGTGCAGGTAACATATGCTTAGAAATGGTACTACGATTCTGAGTGGAAATCGAATGCGAGGCGTATCCTCAGACGGAATCGATGAACGCAAAAGACTTTATTCTGAGCCTTTATGTTCGTCCATCTCCGCCCTCCGCTTTACCCTTGTCGATCTTTGGAACCCAGAGCCGATTATCATCCCTCCGGCGGTCCTCTCGTTATCGGATGCTCTCTGCAGCAATACAATATTCAGATTCCAACTGATTTTCAGCTGTTAAGTTTGAGGTTTACGGGTTTCTCGAATTTCTCCAGCTGAACTGCCTGCCATTCAATCAAAACCACGGCTGAATCGATAAGTGCATAGTACCAAAAAATTGTTTGCAATGTTGTAAACCGTAGGATTTTCTGTCAATCAGCCTCAACTTACAACGCCGGACCCAATTTTTCCTCTTCCTAACCCAGTCCTCCACATTACACATAAACCCAATGGGAAGTGAGGAAAAAGGGAACTCTTGAACCACCTCAGGTTACGCCATGCGTCCAACCTCCAATCAATACCGTGGAAGCATTGGAACGAACCTGAGAAGCGACTTTTGCAACGTACAACTCGTAACTTCTGCCTTTATAGAAACTTTATTGATGAGAAAGGATTGGCGGGGATTTAATCCCGCGGCGTGGCTAATGCAATGGCCAGCGCTGCTTTTAGCCCCTACACCATTTTACCGTGTGAAAATGACTTCTATTTACAGAAGCGCATGATTTATGGCTGTACAGCAGCCGATCAACATTTTTTCCCATCACAATTGATGTTATGTGACCCGTCGTCTTCTTCCTTATCAAGACCGCATCGTTTATTACACAAATGTCGTGCGATGGAACAGGGAGGCAACGGTCGCTTTGTGACTGGAAGGGATGGAGCCCAGGGAACTCAAAGGGATGGAGCCCTGAGAACCCAAGTGGGAATAAGAAAATCTCCCGTTTAATCGAGGAGTTTGAATGCCTTCATCGTATGATAGCCCCCTTCACCCAGATTTCGACCCCGTCACGTGCCTCTATACTTCTGTACTTCAAAAAAGGGCCTTGTTTGGAGTTTTTCTCCAATTCTGCAATTTCCAATGATATAATAATAATTATAGTAAGAATAGCAATAAACATTAATAAAGGATAAAGTTTTTGAGGTTAATCAATCCCGTCTGAGGGAGGGGTCCCCGCACTCGACTTCCATTCAGAATCGTGGTGGCGTAATAAGAGCATATTTGTCCCCTAAAATGACTTGAGGTCGCCAGCCGATGTACAAGTCAGTACTTTTATCCTCCCAGACGAGTCCGGCACCAATTGATCGACTCCGGAGGGGTGGAAGGCTTGGTAGGCCTACGCGGGTATCAATCCGGAATTTGAACCCGTTGTCATGCGTGTGCGAAGCGCGCCACTTGCCACTACACCGCCTCCGCCTTAATAAACATTGATAATAAAAAGAGTTTTCACAATGAATGTCCTCCTTTTCATCCTGATCCCTCAATACGATTTTCCCTTTCTCAGGGATACTGTACTCATAAGGCGCACTCTCTCGAGGACCCATTCCAGTGAAATTGAAATTGAGAGCCGCCGTAGTAGGGAGAAGGGAAGATGGAAGGGGGACGGGGGTAGAATTATGTGTGAGGAAAGCAGCCTTACGTCCACAACATTACCTGCAGAAACCTTGCAAAAGCAGATGGAAAAGTAAGAATGGAATAAAATAGAAAGGGAAACAGAAAAAAAAAGAAAAAAAATTAACGGTGATGACCTGTCAAAGTCAGCCACGATCAGTGAGTGGCCAGCCGCTCGAAGGATGCAGTAGCCAAGCGTTGGGACAAAAATATCCAAGCAAAATGAATTTTGCACTCATTCCTTTCTTTTTTGACCCAGAACTGCCTGAAAATTCCAATTTCCAGGCTGGCATTGGACATCAATAAACGGGTTTATAATCATCGACCAGGAGCATGCAGAAAGGTCGAAGGAGTCCGTAAGTTCAGAAAAAAACCAACCGTAGACCAGCCGTATCGTTTCCGATCATCGCTATAATCGATTATCTCAGAGTATGGGGCCGAAGATATCGCCGTCCTGGAAGAGGAGGGCATCGCAATAATCACTTCCGGTATCGTTTACCTACAACCACGTAAAAAGGCTAGTTCGTCCATTTGAATATCAATTGACGAGTTTGTTTATCTGTTTACTACATCTAAATATAAACACAAATGCTCCAAGTGTCAAATATATCTAATTGATTGAATGAAAAAAATTAAAATGAATGGAAGGGAAAGTAAAAAATTCTCCAGTGGGATGGAAATAATATAAAACTGAATATTATGTTGGAGGATAAGTCCTGCAACACTTGGAACATGTTCCTCGGTAGAAAATTCAAAACCCTCTTTAAATGTAAAATTAATGAAATTTAAATATCAGCAAAAAATATAAAATTACAAAATTATAAAATAAATACTATTAACAAATATAAAATTCGGAAACTTTCCCAAAGTGTTGTAAAGCTTATCTTCCAATCTAAGAGATAGAAAGTGACACGTTCGATGTGTGTTCGTGCATAGTTTTCAGATGCAGTAAACAAATAAATATAAATAAATGAATAATTCTCCTATTTTATGTAAATAAGCAAGTAGAAAACAAATAAACAAATTTACTATTTACTATTCTATAAAAATTCGAAAGAATAACTAAGTAAATAAATGCATAAATGAATTTCTATCCCATCCCGTGCAAATATATCAGATGACCAACAATGTTTCTTTCCTATTCCATGCACATGTAGAAGACAACTAACAAGTAAATAAATAAGTAAACAGCCAAATAGATAAATATATAAATAAACGAATGGACATCTTACCCTTCGTTTGAAGTTTATCGCATGGAAATCGTGAAAGGAAGAAAATTGATGAATCAGCCAGAAAATCCAGAATCAGGCTGACCAACCGCATTGACCAAACCCCTTTGACCACTTCATCTCTTTAGTTAACTGATCTATCTGGCATTTGACATAGCCAGTATTTTTGCATCCATCCCGAAAAAATCCTTGACCGCCAGTTAGTACTTTCGAACTTAAACTCGACCTGGCTAAGCTACAGATCCGGCTACGGCTCTACAGTAGCTTATAGCGTGCTTTGATCATTTTCATTTACTTTATTTACCCTTTTTCGAGCTATGAAATCAGCTCCCAATGGATTTGCAACATATTGCTGGCTTTTTTTTGCTTTTCGTTAATAAAATAATAAATAAAATAAAAATATCAGATAGAAAAAAATTTCGGTTGCTTGGTTTTTTTTTTGTTTACACTATGCTCACATGTGTTTCACATGTCTTTTGATAAAATAATTAATAAAATAAATAAAATAAATAATAAAATATTTTATGAAATAAGATGAATTCTCACAGCAGATTAACGCTTTTATTAAACCACTATGAATTTTTTCTCAAAGCCAAATCATCTGGCGATTGACGCAGAATCGTTTATACTTATCAACGATGGCTATGCTCAATCAAAAAATTCAAACAACTGAATACTCCATCTAATTATTATATTATCAGTACTATACCCAATTATTTTTAATTGTTATCCCATAATTGTCGAAAAACTATCTGATGAGATATTTCTAGGAAAAAGTAAAAATTGGTTCAGGAAGTCAAAGGACAGCTGTTCCTTTACGATTTCCGTCAGAATGGCACGTGGAAGGTTGTTCCGTTGAAAATTAACGGAGAATACGATGAGGTGAGTAGTAAGAAGTTAACGTCTGTAAGGCTTGTCAAATCGTCATTTGCCCCCTGTTTTTTGGGGTTTGGGGTGGTGTAAAATGCTTTGGGGTGTACTGCACCACAGTGCTGCGCGATTGCCCCATCCCCTCTATCTGGGAGCGCTCTAAAAAACTACTACAACTGCCTGTTTATTTAATTTTTCGAAAGAAATAATTCGTTCAGGAGAACTTCCATCCCCATGGTATTTCCCATTTCATCACTGCTAAGGGAGCTCGTCTATTCGTGATCTCACACACGAATGATTTTAAACATTCGGTGATGGTATTTGATTGGAATCGTCAAAATCCCCTACAAGTGGATTTGGTACGAACAATCAAAGACGACAAATTCATCAGGTACTCGAAATTTTTCAGAATTTTTTTTATTTCCTTCAAACTTTTTTTCTTAAGGCCAAATGATCTGGCAGCGATCAATGAGGAATCGTTTATACTTACCAACGACGGCTATTCTCAATCGAAATTTTTCAATCTTCTGGAAATTCTTTTATTTTATCCAAGTGGAAGTGCGGTATACTACGATGGCACGGTGAGGATTTGTAATACGTTTCTCCTCTATTGTCGTTCGGATGCGAAATCGATTACTCTCTGCACGCGAAGGAATGTCGCGCGCGCGTAAAATCAATATCTATTCCACAACACTTCCTTTTCAGACTAGCAATTTCGTAATATTGAAGTCAGTTTCTCCGAATGGTATCATCTTCAACAAAGAACGTACTCATGCCATCATCTCCCATATAAATAGCGAAACCGTTTCCGTCTACAAACTGGATGATGTACGGTTATCGATTGATCGGTTATTGATTGGCTACCTAGTAATGACCATCAACTTAGAGCAATTATTATTACAGAATCATCATAAGCTATTACATGTGGTCGATGTTCCGATACTAACGTCCGCTGACAATTTCTGCCTTGATAAATCAGGAGCCGTCTGGGTTGTGAGTCCCGAACAGAATTTTGCTACTGTTTGATCTAACGACTGCCATGTTTTGACTTATAGGGTGCTCATCCGGTGATGAAAGATGCACTGTCATTCCTGTCAGATTTTGATGACACTAATGCTATAGCACCGTCACAGGTTTGTACGAAATACTGGACACTGGCGCGCGCGGTCGCGTAGCGGTCAGTTCCGCTACACGTCAACTTGAAACAAGGTAGAGCTGATCAGAAAAAGGTTTGACAGGTCGCACAGTTACTTGATTTATTCCATGAAACGTGAAGCGTACAGCCGCATCGCAGCCGCTCGCGTCAGTTTCTTTCAAATTGCACAGACAAACTTATAGGAAAGTAGTGGGATTCTTTCTATTTAGGTCCTTAGGATCGTCTTTTCAAAAGATTTCAAATCATGGGAAATCACAGAGCCATTTGCTGACGATGGACGACTTATATCGGCATCGTCGGTCGCTGCTCCTTTTGGAAATCAATTGCTCATCGGATCTGTCTGCCGGGAACTTGTACACTGCTATATCAGGCCCGAAACTGTTTGAATGTATATACTTTTTTTTNTTTTTTTTGAATAAATACATAGAACTGTACGGATTTCATTGTTTTTGTAAGTTTTGGCGAGTTACTCATCAACCACGCTCCATCATCAAACGTCTGCCAAGTGGAATGTATCGTAAACAAACGAGTAAACAATCGAAGAACCAATTTGAAGTTGCGCCTTACTTTCTTGATTTATTAAAAAAAGAAAATGAATAAAAAGAAAACAAACGACAACACTAGAAAGGCGACAATTCAAGTGACGGGAGATCGGAACCGAGTATCACAGGTCATGAGGGAGTAGTTTTTTTATTATACTGGGCCCAGAACAAAGCACTAAGGATGAATGGACAATATTGGGCCCAGAAAAAAGCATTAGGGATGGAAGGGCAAGGAATGGAAGGATGGTTATGTTATTGAAGGATTCAACACGTCGCAATGCAATAGCCGACTGAACATTGAGCCAACAACCAGATGTTCCTTGTCATACACCTGAAATTTGAGTTTTCTAGTATCTGCCCACTTCTGGGTCCTTCCACCAACGCTTTCAGAATGCTCCTTTACAGGGGTCTAATGCCTTCGTGAGGAGGCTAATGCCTTCGTGAGGACATCGATGTTCAAGCTTAGAGCGGTCGAGTTGCAGGACTCAGTGGTGGACTGAATGGTGGACGCATGAGTTAACGACAACTCCATCAGCAGTGGATCTTCACCTGCGGGTAGGAATGACTGGTGCTAAGTTCCGAAGTGATGGGTAGGGGTGTTATAGGGTCATAACATTCACTAAATACCCGTGAACATGATGCGAAGCCCGTCCAGTTGTTTTACGGATTCTGTGACTCCCACAAAACAGACGCGTGCGGTCGCGCAGCGGTAGACATAGGTTCGAAGGTAGAACGGGAAACGGAAGTGAGTGAGCCTTTGGAGTTTATAGGCATAATTCCCAGGCATTCTTTGTTTTGCATCATATTTTCAAATGACTACTAATAATGAGAAATCAAAAGCGACCAACCACAGCGTTGCTTGCTGATATGGTCGCGCCATCGTTAGCATATGGCTCCGTAATTACCCAGCTTACTCCATCTTCCTGAAGAAGACGGGTTTTTCGAAACGTAAGGCAAAAATCAATGGGAAAACAGCGTGAAAAACTGCGAAAATAGTAGCTCAAATGGTTGAACTCACCTGCATTCTAACCCGCAACACTTGACTTGGGCTACGAATCCTTTCATCGTTAGGGCTGAGGGTGACCAAAAAGGCCTGATAGAGTACCGGATGCAAAGCTACCCAAATGTCACCTGAAATAATACATAATAAGGATGTATGACAGAATGATTTCTTCAATTTTCGCTTACTGTAATGGATTGCGCTATGAATTGCTTACAAATCAATCGATTGGTGCTGATTGATATCATGAAATACCAACTTCAAATCAGTCAGAGCCTCACCTTCGATCACCTCAACTTTCAACTCTGAAGGATTGAGTTACCCTAGTGGTTCCCTAGAGATTACGCTCCAGTGTCAATCGCCAACATGAACCCGTCTAGTCAATAATCCCTAAGTGCAGGGAGAGGACCACTTCGAATGAAAAAGAGTGTAGGTAAGAGACGGAGAAAGGGGAAAGGGAAAAAGGTAGGAAGGGAGAAAGGGAGGAAGGGGACAGGGGTGAGGGAGGTACAGGTGAGGGAGGAAGTGAATAGAGAGGAGATTACACTTGACACATCTCAATCTGCAGATGATAAACCTACCTCTTCCTCCCCGAGCCATCCCCTTTTCCCACCCGTTCAATCCCTAATATGCACTTTTTGACTAGGAAGTTAGCAAAATCAAACAGACGAACTGTCCACGGTCGTTGAAATATTTACCAGAGCTATGAGAAACGTTCCTTACCGGTCTCTTCGTCCACATGCATTCCAGCTGGTGACGAGAGTAATGAGATCTGCGTTCGAAATGTGAGCGAAAAATCCCTTTCTAACTTGTAGACGCGAATATTCTGAACCAGAAGCAGTCAGTAGAGAGCCACAATACAAAACTGGACTGATGGGAGGCCGTTACAAACTTCGTTGAGCATTGAACCCGCATAGATCAGTTGTCGTCGTCGATCAATGGCAAGAGCTGATGGCGACGAAAGTTGGGATTCTTGTAATGAGACATTTCGCCCATCGAAAAAGTACAACGCACCAAAACTACTCTGAAAACAATCCAGTAAAGTAAGGCTTACTTTGGAAAGTCCTGATCACACCATACAAAGCCTGCATTTGATGAAAATAATGATTTTGTGATAATAGGGTAGTAGGGAGGTACTGCCATGTGGCGCGCGACAACACCGACTGGGACTGGGACCAAACCGATATCCCCATAGATCAACTGAGGTCGGTAAATTGGTTCCAAACCGTCTAGGGAGATAAAAACACTAACTTCTGGATCTGCCGGTCACCGCAATTCATTATATAGGCCCTATACCCACACAAACGCCAATGCGATTCTGCACCGGAGCCGAATATGTGCTCCCAAATCCCGAAGATGAGGTTGATCAAATCAGTGTCGAAATACCTTCACCTATCACCTTCCTACCTACTCTTCCTTGTTTCAGTTAAAGCTTTAATCAGTACTGCAACGCATGATTACCAATACTAACAGCATAGTTACCTGCATCATCAGTTCCGCCGTCTGTAAATAACCTCTTGACATATACGCTAGATTACTGACAAAAAATCGATCCGCTCCAATCACGACAATGTCAGAAATACTAAAAAATTCTGAATTCCATCTGAATTACTCGAAAATAATTACGTTTCCTACCTGGAAAACCTAGGATCACAGACTGATTTCCTATAAAACAACAGGTTCTTCTCCTTGTGGTAGGTGAAAATCTCCACACACTGCCGATCAGGATGGGTGTTCACTACGTACAGAGAGATCCGTCCTTTACTGTAGTAAGACGACAATCCGAGAGGAATGAACTCATTCTGAAAAGTGATCAGAAATAAATACTTCTGAA